TAAATGAAGATTCTGCTCACGTCAGTGCTAATCATCAGCAGCAGCAAGCCCTACCACCTGCAAGATTTCAGACGTACCAGCCAGCTGGAGTGGAAAACTATTCGCTGCTATAGTCAACGCCAAACAAAGTGGCGTGCACGTCATCACGATAAAAATTCCCCGACCTAATGCCTAGGTTTCTATCACAAACAATTGCTCTATTGCAGTTTCATATTAATGTGATATATAAATTGTAAAATGGTCATTACTCTCTTATTATGGTTAATAGTCATATAAACATTGTTATTAAAATATCACATAAGTTGCTTTCTGATAAATTTAGACGCATTATGCGAAATAAATTGTTTTGCAAACGCTCCAATCACTTATCGACATGTAAACGCACTAAACCGATTTCGCAGCGTTGACACATTGTCACCTTGAAACTTATTTAAACTGGGAACTGACATTTGTATTAATTTTGACACTGAATCAATTTGTGGCATTTCAAATCTTTATAAATCCTTTGGCCCCGCATACTGTAAATCAACAACTGTTTGTTTCAAAACAAAATTATTCATTTTACGAGTAGATAAAGACAATTTTGGTATATAAAGATGCCCAAACAGTTAAATAGTCGGTGTAAGGAACTCGTGGCCTCGTTAATGCACTACTTTGAGCAAGAAAGAGACAGCAACGGGCCTTTGTTGCCTTTAAATGCTGTTCAAGAGGTAGGTTACTAATAATTATATGTAATGTATATTAATAATAGTGAAATTTTATTTCATTTTTTGTAGCGTGTTGCTGCTGCTTTAAAAATTAGTTTAAGGACAGTTAGTCGTATTTCCGAGGGTGTGAAAAGTGATGCAAATTTAGATTCGCCCAAGAAAAAGCGGAGTTATATTAAACGTGTAACCAACACAGCGACATTGGATACAAGTGCCATTCGAGAAGTGATCTATAATATGTATCACAAAAGTAAGATCTTATTATAATAACTTATCAGAAATTTGCATTAATTTGTTAACTAAATTATAATGTCATATTACACATGGTTTCAGAAGAACAAGTTACGATACAAACTTTATGGTCTCGATTAAGAGATAGGGCATTATTTGATGGTAGTGCCACGTCTTTAAGGCGGTTGCTTAGAGATCTTGGATTTAAGTGGCTTAAGGACAATCCGCGACGAGGGCTCATGGAACTACCAAGTATAGCTTTGAAAAGGGTGGAATTTCTAAGGCAATACAATCAAGCCAAGGTTGAGGCCTTATACCAGTTTGTCTTCCTCGATGAAACTTGGATATTTCAAAATGGGACCATAGGTCGCTCTTGGCAAAATGGAAACCAAAAAAGCGTGAAAGCTATTAAAACAGATGGTAAAAGGTATGTACTTTTACACAATTTGCACTATAAAATTTAAAACTAATATATTTTAGATACGTTATATTACATGCTGGAAATGAAAATGGGTTTATTGAGGGTAGTAACGCGATATTTTCTTCGAAAACAAAATTGAGCGATTACCATGGAGAGATGAACCAGGACAATTTTTTGAAATGGTTTCAACATCAGTTATTAGAAAAATTGGAGAGTCCATCTATGATTATACTGGATAACGCCCCTTATCACAGCATGATATTGAACAAAGTGCCCAACAATGCATGGACAAAAAAAAATATCCAAGACTGGTTGATAAATCAAAACATACCATTTTTAAACACAATGTTTAAAACAGAGCTATTGAGTATTGTTGCTCGGTACATAATGCTTCTTAATTATATATATTTTGGTCGACAGTTTATATTTCTTTTGTTTATTCCTATTCTTAAAATAACTGCTTTTTTAGAAACAAACCACCTAAAATATACGTGATTGATGAATTGGCGGAACAACATGGGCACAAAGTTCTTCGTCTGCCTCCTTACCATTGTATATTTAACCCTATTGAGTTAATTTGGGGCATAGCAAAAGGTTACTATAACAGACATATTGGTAGAGATGGTAACAGTGAAAAAGACTGTTTGGATATGTGGAACGAGGCTCTACAAACGGTTACCCCAGACATGTGGAAAAATAGTGTTCGACATACTGAGCAAGAAATTTTTAAATGGTATGAAAGAGAACGAATTTTTGATCGACCAGACATCGAACCTTTAATAATCAACTTTGAGAGTGATGAAGATTCAGATTCAGACAGCGCTGAAGAAAGAAACTCCGACTAACTTTATTGTACAGAAAAAGCTTACACCAGTAGCTTACCTAATTTTAGAATGCATTTTTCTGTATGAATTCTGTAAAATAAATACCATGCATAAAATTTGGAGGACCCCATTTGGATTTTTATTCAGTACCTTTAAGCTATCAATTAAATATGGTAGTTTCATAGTGTCATCTGATCAATAATTGTCATACTTAATGATTATGCAAGTACAGATCTATAATTTTATCATACTATTATTTTTGTTCTCATTTGGGGTTAATATTGCTTATAAACCTAGATATGTAAATAATAAATTTTATTATTTTACAAAAAGTTTGGCAACAATGTAAATTTTTCAACACACCCACCTTGATGACGTGCACGCCACTTTGTTTGGCGTTGACTATAAATATATATGCCTCCTTCAACACTTCTGTAGCGGGTAATCCATCCAAGAATCGAGATATTCTGAATACAGGCGCAGATCATATTCTAGCAGCCATTATGTTAGTAGATCATCATTAGTAAGCTCTTATAAATGGTGGTGCTTACAATATTAGATCGCCCAACTCCTTAAGAACACAGACAGCGGCAGACTATTACTCATCATTTACACCAAGCTTTGATGAAAACTTTGGGCAAAATACGTTCACAAATGATGACGGAAGTACTTGACAGATCGCTGCAAGTTTGAATGGGCATGCTAGGATAGAATTGCCAATTACCGGTACATACTATTATGACGGCTCACATTTGTGCTCAAGGCTCAAAGAAGTGTTCTCCTTATTCTAATTTGTCGAGGGAGAGAGATACGCGAATATTTCATCCTAGACTATTTATGATTTTATCCCAGGAGTCATTGGCCGATGTGGGGCAGGATGTAGTTCATGGTCTGATAGACTCATGGGCCATATTCCAGCAACTCATGTTCAACAACATGGAAGATCAGCTGTTCATCCAAATAATTTTATAAATCACCTGGCGTATGGATCATGCAGGTTTCCAAGGAGGTTGCGTGTACAGGACAATTATGGGCACTTGAGTTAGGATTTGGTCCCTATCAGGCAAATAGCTTGCACCAAACCAAAAGATATACCTCATGCAACCACCGTGCAGTTTTGATATGGTTCTAGATCGCTTCGTTAAACGTATACGTTAGACCCAAATGACATACAGTCATTCAGAACAAGGTCAGATACAGATCCATCGTATCAGCAACTTACTGGAAGTAATGCAGAAAGACATGAATACCTATCTGAAGTGGTACAACAACGGCAGTTTGAATCAAATAAACCAGCACTACCCTCAGAATATCCAAACATAAATTTGCAACCCATTTATTTTGGAGGAAAACTGGACAAAGGTAGTATTATAGGAAGGATTGATAGACTGACATTGACACTGACCCAGACCCAGATTATATGTGAAAATTATATTATTAATTTAATCATACATACATCAGTATTTGGAATTATGCCTGTAGATTAATTATATTTTACTTTAATGTAAAAGAAGCTCGAGTCTAGCTAACAGAAGGAGCAAGAGACAGGTTGTATGCCAGTACAGTGCAAGAGTCGAGATATTTTGAATTCGCAGATCATATTCTAGCAGCTCTTCTGTTAGTATATCATCATTAACAAGCTTGCAGTATAAGAGGGTCCAGCTCCTTGAAAACAGGCAGCAGCGGGCTATTTGTCATCACTTACACGAAGCATTGATGAATAACTTGAACGAAACACGTTCACAAATAATGAAGGGAATCCTCGACAGGTCGCTGCAAATTTCCAGGGGCATGCTGAGATGCTCTCGTCAGTCATTGCTACATATTATACCAACTCACATTTGGGCTTTGGGACAAGATGTTCTTCAGCTTATAGAAAGCTACCAATGACAAGGGCTCAAGGAGGTGTTCCTTATTCTAATTTGTTGAAGGATAGACTTTCGAGATTTTTTCATCCCAGGAGCCATGAGCAGATATAGGCTTAGGATGTAGCTCATAGTCTAATAAATTTTGTGAATTATGCTGCGTTTGCAAGGCTGAGTATACAGGATAATAACCAAAAGAACCGGTACTACCCTTAGAATTTTCAAACATCAATTTGCAACCAATTTGTTTTGAGGAAAACTTGATCATATGTAGTATTATAGGAAGGATTGATGGGAAGCTGGACTTCGAATACATTTATTAGTAACCACAACTCCAGCTAGTTATAGATTTGGTATGTTGGCTGCCATTAGACATTAGGCATCTGACTAGAAGGCTATAAATACTTTAAGAAGTGTCTATTTACTGAACGAGTTTCAAAGTAGAACACAGAAAGTTCTCTTACTATAGTTCGAAAGCATTGGTACAAGTGTCGCATAGAACATAAAAATGTTAGTTAACTTAATCCGCCTCCTTTAAAACTTCTACAGCGGGAAATCAACAAAGAGTCGAGCTATTCTGAATACAGACGCAGATCATATTCAATCAGTTCTTCTGTTAGTAAATCATCATTAGAAAGCACTATAGATGATCGTGTTTCAATATTAGATCGCCAAGATCCTTAAGAACACAGACAGCAGCGGACTATTTCTTAACATTTAATACATCAATCATGAAAAACTTGAACAAAACACGTCTAAAAATAGTGGAGGAAATCCTCGACAGATCGCTGCAAATTTGAAAGGGCAGATATAGTATTGCCAGTTGCGGGTATGTATTATGTAAATTCTAACACGCATTTGGGCTTTGGGAAAAGATGTTCTTTAGCTTATAGGAGTGGAAAAAGGCTCAATGAGGTGGTACTCTAATTTGTTGGAGTATAAAGATCCAAGAATGTTTCATCCTAGACCATTTGTATATTCATTCCAGGACCCATTGGCAGATATGGAGGCAGGATGCAGTTCATGGTTTGATAGATCCGAGGACAATGTTTCAACAACATGGAAGATCATCTGTTTACCCAATAGGTCATGCAGGTTTGCAAGGTTGAGTATCAGGAATAATGGATCAAATGAACCGGACTACCCCAGCTGGAAAGGAAAGTTAGTCGCATCTAAATCCGCCTCCTTTAAAACATCTGAAGTGGAAAATAAACCCATAGTCGATCTACTCTGAATTCAGACGCAGATTATATTCTAGCAGCACTCCTGTTAGTAGATCATCATTAGCAAGCTCTATAGACTATCGTTCTTGCAATACTAGATTGCTTAGGAATGAAGACAACATTTACACCAACCCTTGATAAAAAACTTGGAAAAAAATAAAGAAGGGAATCCTCGACGATCGCTGCAAATTTGAAGCGGCATGCTCAGATAGTCTTTCCAGCTACGGGTACATATTATGTTAACACCAAACACGCGTTTGGGTGTTAAGCTTATAGGATGCTACCAATGGCAACGGCTCAAGGTGGTGTTTCTTATTCTAATTTTTTGGAGGATAGAGATCTAAGAATCTTTCATACTAGACCATTTGTAAATAAATTCCAGAGCCATTGGCAAATATGGGGGCAGGATGAAGTTAATTGGCTGATAGACCCGAGGACCCATATTTCAGAAACTAATATTCAATATCACGAAAGATCTGTTTACCCAACTAACTCGTTGAATTACCCTGTGTATGCATCATGCATGATTGGAAGGTTGAACATGCAGGATAACGAATCAAATGAACTGGTACTACCCTTTCTAACATCAATTTGCAACCAATATGTTTGGAAGAAAACGTGGACATAGATAGTATTATAGGAAGGATTGATGGGAAGCTGGACTTTGCAAATATTTCTTAGTGCCTCAACTCCAGCTAGTTATAGATTTTGTATGTAGGCTGGCATTAAGCATCTGTGTAAAAGGCTCTGAATGCTTTAACAAGCATCTTTTTACTAAACTAGTTTCACAGTGAGATACAGGAAGCTGTAACGTGTTTTGTTTTTGTTCGAAAGCATTGGTAGTTGGTATTGACATTGACCCAGATCCAGATTGTATGTGCAAAATTGCTATTATTTTCGCATGCAATTCTTACAATGGTATTTCGAATTATGTCTACATATTAATTATATTTTACTCTAAGGAAGAAGAAGCTCGAGACTAGCAAACAGGAGGAGCAAGAGGCAAGTTGTATGCTAGTACAAGTGTCGCGACGACGGCATGGAATATAACAATGAAGATCCCGCTCAAGCCAGTGTTAATAATCTTCAGCAACAAGCTCTACCACCTGCAAGATTTCAGACATACCATCCAGCTGGAGAGGGAAGCTATTTAATACCTCCTTCAAAACTCCTGCAGCGGGTAGTCAACCAAGAGTCGAGCTAACCTGAATGCAGACGCATCTCATATTCTAGCAGCTCTTCTGTATGTAGATAATCGTTAGCAAGCTTTATAGATAATGGTGCCTACAATATTAAATCACCAAGCTCCTCTATAACACAGATAGCAGCGGATTATTTCTCATCATATACACCAACCATGGATGGAAAACTTGAATAACATCCGTTCACAAATAATGAAGAGAATCTTCCACAGATCGCTGCAAATTTAAGTGTACACGCTGAGGTAGCCTTGCCAGCTACGGCTACGTATTATGATAACTGTAACACCCATTTGGGCTTTGGGACAAGATATTCTTCAGCTTATAGAACGATACAGATGGCAAGGGCTCAAGGAGGTGTCCCTTATTCAAATTTGTTGAAGGATAGAGATCCGAGAACCTCTCATCCTAGGCGATTCGTATATCTATCCCAGGAGCGATTGGCAGAATTGGGGGCAGGCTGATAGTCCTGAGGACGGTATTTCAGAAAGTGATGTTCAGCAACACGGAAGGTTATCTGTTTATCCAAATAATTTTGTGAATTACCCTGCGTATGGATCATGCAAATTTGCAAGATTGGGTATACAGGATAACTAATTTGATTCATGGTAGTACCCTTAGAACTTACTAACCTCAATTTGCAACCAATTTGTTTGGAAGAACACTTGGACATACTAATGAGAAGCTGGAAATATTTCTTAGTACCCGCAAACCCAGCTAGTTATAGATTTGGTATGTGGCCTGCCATTAGATATTAGACATCTTGCTAGAAGGCTCTCAATGCTTTAAAAAGTGGCTATTTAATGAACAATTTCTAAGGTAAGATACAGAAAGTTGTGACGTTTTTTTTTCAGCATTGGTAGACTGGCATTGACATTGACCCAGACCCAGATTGTATGTGCGAATTTGCTATAATTCTTTCATACAATTTTATCATACGTACAATGGTATTTAAAATTATTCTAGTACATGAATTATATTTTACTTTGAAGTAGAAGAAGCTCAAGTCTATCAAACAGGAGAAGCAAGAGGCAAATTCTATGTGAGTTCAAGTGTCGCGACAACGGCATAGAACATACAAATGAAGATCCAGCTCAAACCAGTGCTAATCATCACCAATAGCAAGCTCTACCACCTACAAGATTTCAGACGTACCAGGCAGCTGGAGAGGGAAACAATTCGCAGCTAAATCCGCTTCCTTGCAGAAAGTAATCAGCCAAGAATTAAGCTATTCTGAATATAGACGCAGATCATAATTTATCAGCCCTTCTGTTAGTAGTTCATCATTAACAAAATCTATAGATGATGGTGCTCGCAGTATTAGATCGCCAAACTCCTTAAATACACAGCAGTGGAGCATTTCTCATCATTCCTCTTGTACATAAAATTGAAAATAACAAAAAGCCATTATATTTAAGAAATAAACTTCGCTTAATATAATTTCATCCACTAGAGTTATCAGATCTCCGCATTTATTCATCATGCCACACCACAGGACGGCTTTATTTAACCGATCTCTCACATTTAACGCACTTACACTGTACAACTCAATTCCAGAAAGCAAAAAGCCATTGTCTATAAATGGGTACAAACATTATTTGATAAATCATCTGCAATGTCCGACGAATCCTATACATACTTTGTAATATCTCTTGGGATAATAAAAGAATTTGAATTTGAATTTGAAGGTTGCGTATACAAGATATTCCGGATTATAAGCACTGGACAGAGGATTTCGTACCAATCAGGCTAAGAGCCTAGCACCAAACCTTTGTACAGCTTTAATATGGTTCTAGATCACTTCGTCAAATGTATACATTAGACCCAAATGACACTCGATCATTCAGATCAAGATCCAACGTATCAACCACTTGCTGGCAATAATGCAGGAAGACATGGGTACTTATATGAAGTTTTACCTCCAGTAATGAAACAACTGCAATTTAAATCAAATGGATCTTCACCACCCTTAGAATTTCCTCAGATCAATTTGCAAGCAATTTGTTTGGAAGAAAACTTGGTCATAGGTAGTATTACAGGAAGGACTGTTGGGAAGCTGGACTTCGAAAATATTTCTTAGTGTCCTACAATCCCAGCTAGTTATAGATTTGCTACGTGGGGTGCTAACAGACATTCGACATCTGTCTAGAAGGCTTTGAATGCTTTAAAAAGTTTCTGTTTACTGAATAAGTTCCAAAGTAAGATACAGGCCTAGTGTAACGTGTTTTGTTTCAGTTCAAGAGTATTTGGTAGACTGCAATTGACATTGAACAGACCCTTATTATATGTGCAAACTTGCTATTACTTTTTCATGCAATTTAATCTTGCATACAACGGTATTTGGACCTATTCCTGTATATTAATTATATTTTACTTCGAAGTAGAAGAAGGTCGAGTCTAGCAAACAGCAAAATTAGACTGGAGAGGGAGGCTATTTACACCTTCTTCAAAACTTCTGCAGCGGGCCATCAACCAAAAATCGAGTTATCCTGAATTCAGACGCAAATCATATTCTAGCAGCTCTTCTGTTAGTAGATCATCATTAGCAAGCTCTATAGATGATGATGCTTGCAATATAAGAACGTCCACCTTCTTGAGAACGCAGGAAGCAGCGGGCTATTTCTCATCGCTTCACGAACCATTGATGAAAGTCTTGAACAAAACACGTTCACAAATAATGAAGGGAATCCTAGACAGATCGCTGTACACTTGAATGTTCATGCTGAGATAGCCTTGCTACTTGCAGCTACGTATTAGATAACTGTATCACACATTTGGGCTTTGGGACAAGGTGTTCTTCAGTTTATAGAATGCTACTAATGGCAACGGCTCAAGCAGGTTTACCTTATTCTAATTTGTTGAAGGATAGGTGTCCAAGAATCTTCCATTCTAGACAATTTGTAAATTTATTCCAGGAGGTATTGGCAGATATTTGGGCAGGATGTAGTTCATGGTCTGATACAGCCGAGGACCATATTTCAGAAAGTAATGTTCAATAACACGGAAGATTGTCAGTTTACCCAAATAATTTTCTAAATTACACTTCGTACGGATCTTGCAGGTTTGCAAGGTTTAGTCTGTAGACTAATCAGTCAATGAACCGGTACTACCCTTAGAATTTCCTAACATAAATTTGAAATAATTAGTTTGGAAAAAAATCTTGGACAAAGGTAGTATTGTAGGAAGGATTGATGGGAAGCTGGATATTCTGAATATAGACGCAGATCATAATCTAGCAGCTCTTCTGTTACTAGATCATCATTAGCAAATTCTATAGATGATTTCTTGCAGTATTATATCACCAAACTCCTTAAGAACATAGCAGTGGACTATTCCTCAACATCTACACTAACCACTGATAAAAAAACTTGAACAAAACACGTTCACAAATGATGAAGGGAGTCCTCGACAGATCGCTGCCAATTTGAACGTGCATGCTGGGATAGCCTTGCCAGTTACGGCTACATATTATGACAACTCACATTTAGGCCTTAGGGCAAGATGCTCTTCAGCTTATAGAATGCTAGGAATGGCAAAGTCTCAAGAATGTGTTACTTATTCTAATTTGTTGAAGGCCAGAGGTCCGAGAAAGCTTCATACTAGACCATTTGTGAGTTTATCCCAGGAGCCAGTGGAAGATGTGTGACAGGATGTAGTTCATGGTCAGCCGTTCACCCAAATAATTTTGTAAATATACGTAACCATGCAGCTTCGCAAGGTTACGTATACAGGATAATCCAAATTATAGGTACTTGAGAGAGGATTTCGTGCCCATCAGGTAAAAGGCTAGCACGAAACCAAACGATATACTTCTTCCAGAACATGGTCAAACGTATTCGTTAGAATCGAATGACCCACAGATATTCAGGTTAAGGTCAACTACGGTTCCAGCGTATCAGAAACTTACTGGTAGTAAAGCAGGAAGATATGGATATGTTTCCGAAGTTTTACCTCCAGTAATAGAACAACTGCAGTTTGACTAAGATGAACTGGCACTTTCCTCAGAACTTTTGAACATCAATTTTCAACTAATTTGTTTGTAAGAAACATGGACTTAGGCAGTATTATAGGAAGGACAACCCCAGCTAGATATGGATTTAATGTGTGGGCTGCCCTTAGACATTAGACTTTGTCTAGAAGACTCTAGATGTTTTCAGAAGTGTACATTTTCTGTCAAATTAATATACAAGCAAGTTGTAACGTGTTTTGTTAAGGCATTGGTAGACTGGAATTGACATTCGCAGAGACCCAAATTATATGTGCAATCTTGATATTATTTTTTCATTCAATCTAATATTTTGTTGGATAGATAGAAAAAATCATAAAGATGATTCAAGACTAAGTTTGCACATATAATATGACTATTAGAAAAGAACCTTTCGAATGAGGTGGTAGAATAAAGAGGTGGTATTAGTTTAGTTCTACTACGGGTATTACCGTTGTGAGCGTAGTAACGTAGATTGACTTTTTCTGTAAGTAGGATGGTAGTTTATGTATTGTTCCTACAATATGCTATGTAGTATGCAAAAATATGTCCGAGACACGAATTTTGAACACGTTGTATTTTATTGTAGATAAAATTAGTTAAGCATTTGTCACAGACGACATCAGTGAAGTTTAAATGCGATAGAACGAGAGAATCACATAATTTAGTTTTTTGGTTGATATAAGATTTTTGTCCATAAAATGCAATTCTCCTTTCTAGAGCACTTCATGACATGTTCCGCAAAACTTATGCTTCAACTCCAGGTATAAGTCTAAATTACGCGCTATCGAGCCTATCTCTGAAGTAGTGTGGCCGAGATTTATTTTCGCCAGAGGTTCTCAGTGTGCTCCGCATTTCTTCGGCCCAAATAACGATTTTACTTTCAATCGGACTCAAGTCTAAACATATGTTACGACAAGCTTTAGTTAGAGGTTCAAGGTCTTTATCTATCAACTTAACAGCAGCCAATGTTTGAGCTGTAGGAAATGATAAGTGTATCATCGGCATAAAAATAAGCTTTGCAGGAGTGTAGACTATATCATAGATTAGAGGTGTAAGCAATGAACATTAACGAGAACATAATGGACTGCAACACCCATGGTGATTTATAGCACTACCTGCTGTTGAAGACCTCTGAAGTAGATGCACATTAGAGACTCTGTAGAGGCTGAAAATCCGTAAATGTATTCTGTCACATGCCTTCGTGGAATCTAAGAGCACCAAGGCAGTCAGGTTGCCTTTGTCAGCTTTGTACAATACATCATCCACCACTCCCAGCAATGCTGTTGCACAGCTATGCGCTGGACGGAAACCTGATTGCGTTTATATGATGAGGTTGTTCGTTCTTAGGTGTTATCTTATTTAAACATCCATTATTGATTCAAGCAATTTAGACAATATTGGCAATATACCAATATTAGGCAAATCTTTGAGCTCAGACGGCTGACCAACTTTAGTCAAAGGCAAATCAAGGCGTGCTTCCAGCAAAGAGGAAAATAGAGGCGCAATATACCTACATTCATTAATGATATCTGTAATAAAAGGTATAATTTTGGGGTAGCAATACAATAGTATTTCGACATTTATCAAATTAGCAGCAAATGATTTGGCTTTGTAGCTATACAAAATATATTTCCTCTGAGCTGCGGACGCCAGAACGAAATCAAAGAGGAGAACATTAGGTTTGACATTATTTCTATAAAAAGAAAATGTGTCAGCATCAGGCTCTATACCTGCACTAGATAAAGACGTAAAAAACCAGTTTATTTCGTCAACATGAGCTAAATCTTTTGGGATAAATGAGCTAGGTGTGTTATTACCAAAGCTCAGAGCTTTTAAATCCTTCCATAGGGTCTTATACTTCGTATTGCTGATTTTTTATAAAAAAATGAATCTTTTTTACATTATCAATAATTGCTAATTTCAATTTATTACGTAACTCTTTTTATTCCTCCCATTGCTAACGATTTTCTATTGGCAGTGAATTTGTCATCTCTAATAAAGCTGGGTTGTCACTGCGCGAAACTGTTTCGCAAAACTGCTTCGCGAAACAAGCCTCGCATCGTCTGTACTTGTTTAGCGAGTATGTTTCGACGTGCGCCAGCGCCAGTGGGTTTTGGATCGCGTATCAAAGAGCCTCGCCTTCTGTGTTGCGGGCAGTGTGCACGTGCACCGTGAGTTTTCGCGCCAAAAATGGATCAACAGAGCAGCTTACGCCTCATTGAACTTTATCAAACCTACCGATTGTTTTGGGACCCCAAAGATAAGGCTCATCATAACAAAATGAAGAGAGAGGACGCATGGAAGGAAATGAGTGCAAAAATGCAGCAGCCTGTCAATATTTTAAAATCAAAAATGAAAACATTGATGGGTTCCTACAGGAGCGAGAGGTCAAGGGAGAACAAAAGCAGACTCTCTGGGTCCGGTAAGTCATTCTTTACTGTTTTCAAATCCATAGACTGATATTAACTTATTATTAATTTATTATTACTATTATCATTATTTGTTACAGGTATCGAGGATGTATATAACTCTAAATGGTTCGCTTACAAATATTTCGATTTTTTATCCGATAAAGACAACCCAAGAGAAACAATGGATACAGAAGTAGTAGAGAGTTCTGAAGTAAGTAGATTCTTAATAGTTTTCTTGCCACGGTAAAGGATCGTTCCAAATAAAGTGGTTAACTATATGCAGACGGACGTTTGTGTGGTGTCTGGATGATCTTCGGGGAATGTTGCGAGTTGGCATCAACGATGTCGTTGGTCCATCATTGCGCCAACGGCCGTCTATAATTGCGCCATTTTGTGTTTCTGTATCAAAACTTCCAGGCGGTGTGTATGTTGCACGTGAAGTACGTTTGCGTAGAAAGTTGTGTAAATATATTGTTGCTAATGTAACTTTAGTTGCTATTTTTGGTTCCAAAAGTATGGGTTTCCTCAATACCCGAAATACTGAACTCAATATCCCAAATGCATTCTCTACGACGCGACGCGCTCTAGAAAGACGGTAATTAAATACAAGTTCTGCTGAACGAGGCTCGGGATCACCATCAAATGGTTTCATCGTATATTCATTCAAAGCAAACGCTTTGTCACCCAATATATAATATAGTACTTCTATAGAATACGGTATTTGCAAGACTTCTGGCTGCGGAATTTTTAATTCACGCCCCTCTAATTTTTTGTATAATGTCGTATTTTTAAATACACCACCGTCCGATATCCGGCCATGGCATCCTACGTCAGCATAAATGAAATTGTAGTCAGCGTCGACTAATGCAAAAAGCACAATGCTAAAAAAATGTTTATAGTTGTAGTGTTCAGTTCCTGAATTGATAGGTGCTTGTAGTACAACGTGCTTCCCATCTATGGCTCCGATTATGTGAGGAATTTGCCATTTTCTTTCAAATTCGGCGGAGATCTGAAGCCACTCCTCTGTAGTAGATGGTACCTGAAAGCATAATTTTTGTTTTAGGAACAACTGGAAGTGCAAGTTTCTACAGAGACAACTTCAGTCAGCCCTGCAGCTACAACATCTGTTGCCACAGAGCAGCAAGAGTCACAAAACACTACTTTCCGTGCTCCTGGTAGCAGAAGGATGCAAACTACTGCTACCAAACGCAAGGCAGCAGAGCAAGACGTAGACTCCCAAATGATTAATGAATCTCTAAAGATCATACAGTCATCGGCTAATTCTTCGAATGACCCGTACTTCACCTACGCCTTAAACTTGGCAAATGAACTGCGAAAATATGATCCAACCACACTGGCGCACGTCAAAAGACCCTTCGCAAATATTTTATTTGATGCAGATATGGGAGTATACTCTACTCCTTCACCATACAGCAGTGGCACTACCTTTCGAACACCCACCCCATACACGTCGTCTACTGAGTCGTCTTCTACTTCATATGACTCTTCGAGGGATTTACCCCCTTTAATATCAAATACTCGTACTTTCCCCACGTCATCAGACACATCAGAACATAACGTTCCAGCAACCACTATTGAATCCATATTATTGAACATTTGAATGTTTTTTTGAGTACCTATGTAAAAACTATTCACTTTTAAATACTTTTTCTGTTCTAAATAAAAGCATATATAGTCAACGCCAAACAAAGTGGCGTGCACGTCATCAAGGTGGGTGTGTTGAAAAATTTACATTGTTGCCAAACTTTTTGTAAAATAATAAAATTTATTATTTACATATCTAGGTTTATAAGCAATATTAACCTCAAATGAGAACAAAAATAATAGTATAATAAAATTATAGATCTGTACTTGCATAATCATTAAGTATGACAATTATTGATCAGATGACACTATGAAACTACCATATTTAATTGATAGCTTAAAGGTACTGAATAAAAATCCAAATGGGGTCCTCCAAATTTTATGCATGGTATTTATTTTACAGAATTCATACAGAAAAATGCATTCTAAAATTAGGTAAGCTACTGGTGTAAGCTTTTTCTGTACAATAAAGTTAGTCAGAGTTTCTTTCTTCAGCGCTGTCTGAATCTGAATCTTCATCACTCTCAAAGTTGATTATTAAAGGTTCGATGTCTGGTCGATCAAAAATTCGTTCTCTTTCATACCATTTAAAAATTTCTTGCTCAGTATGTCGAACACTATTTTTCCACATGTCTGGGGTAACCGTTTGTAGAGCCTCGTTCCACATATCCAAACAGTCTTTTTCACTGTTACCATCTCTACCAATATGTCTGTTATAGTAACCTTTTGCTATGCCCCAAATTAACTCAATAGGGTTAAATATACAATGGTAAGGAGGCAGACGAAGAACTTTGTGCCCATGTTGTTCCGCCAATTCATCAATCACGTATATTTTAGGTGGTTTGTTTCTAAAAAAGCAGTTATTTTAAGAATAGGAATAAACAAAAGAAATATAAACTGTCGACCAAAATATATATAATTAAGAAGCATTATGTACCGAGCAACAATACCCGATAGCTCTGTTTTAAACATTGTGTTTAAAAATGGTATGTTTTGATTTGTCAACCAGTCTTGGATATTTTTTTTGTCCATGCATTGTTGGGCACTTTGTTCAATATCATGCTGTGATAAGGGGCGTTATCCAGTATAATCATAGATGGAATCTCCAATTTTTCTAATAACTGATGTTGAAACCATTTCAAAAAATTGTCCTGGTTCATCTCTCCATGGTAATCGCTCAATTTTGTTTTCGAAGAAAATATCGCTTCACTACCCTCAATAAACCCATTTTCATTTCCAGCATGTACTATAATGTATCTAAAATATATTAGTTTTAAATTTTATAGTGCAAATTGTGTAAAAGTACATACCTTTTACCATCTGTTTTAATAGCTTTCACGCTTTTTTGGTTTCCATTTTGCCAAGAGCGACCTATGGTCCCATTTTGAAATATCCATGTTTCATCGAGGAAGACAAACTGGTATAAGGCCTCAACCTTGGCTTGATTGTATTGCCTTAGAAATTCCACCCTTTTCAAAGCTATACTTGGTAGTTCCATGAGCCCTCGTCGCGGATTGTCCTTAAGCCACTTAAATCCAAGATCTCTAAGCAACCGCCTTAAAGACGTGGCACTACCATCAAATAATGCCCTATCTCTTAATCGAGACCATAAAGTTTGTATCGTAACTTGTTCTTCTGAAACCATGGGTAATATGACATTATAATTTAGTTAACAAATTAATGCAAATTTCTGATAAGTTATTATAATAAGATCTTACTTTTGTGATACATATTATAGATCACTTCTCGAATGGCACTTGTATCCAATGTCGCTGTGTTGGTTACACGTTTAATATAACTCCGCTTTTTCTTGGGCGATTCTAAATTTGCATCACTTTTCACACCCTCGGAAATACGACTAACTGTCCTTAAACTAATTTTTAAAGCAGCAGCAACACGCTACAAAAAATGAAATAAAATTTCACTATTATTAATATACATTACATATAATTATTAGTAACCTACCTCTTGAACAGCATTTAAAGGCAACAAAGGCCCGTTGTTGTCCCTTTCTTGCTCAAAGTAGTGCATTAACGAGGCCATGAGTTCCTTACACCGACTATTTAACTGTTTGGGCATCTTTATATACCAAAATTGCCTTTATCTACTCGTAAAATGAATAATTTTGTTTTGAAACAAACAGTTGTTGATTTACAGTATGCGGGGCCAAAGGATTTATAAAGATTTGAAATGCCACAAATTGATTCAGTGTCAAAATTAATACAAATGTCAGTTCTCAGTTTAAATAAGTTTCAAGGTGACAATGTGTCAACGCTGCGAAATCGGTTTAGTGCGTTTACATGTCGATAAGTGATTGGAGCGTTTGCAAAACATTTTATTTCGCATAATGCGTCTAAATTTATCAGAAAGCAACTTATGTGATATTTTAATAACAATGTTTATATGACTATTAACCATAATAAGAGAGTAATGACCATTTTACAATTTATATATCACATTAATATGAAACTGCAATAGAGCAATTGTTTGTGATAGAAACCTAGGCATTAGGTCGGGGAATTTTTATCGTGATGACGTGCACGCCACTTTGTTTGGCGTTGACTATAAAACACATTATTTTACCTTTACATATTCCTGAAATGATTCGATCAAGGCATCGCAAACTTCTGGAATGATTCTTGATATTGCGCTCTTCGATATTTTGAAGAGATATTGCAGGCTCGTGTAGGAATCACCTGTTGCAAGAAATCTTAAGCATAGCGTCAACCTCTCCTTAACGGTTATAGCCTCTCTCATGTTGGTATCCATTCTTCTTATTTTGGGCTCGATCAGTGACATGACATGTTCGAAGTCTTGTGTAGTCATCCTAGTAAAGTTCCTGATGATATCTTCGCAAGGTTCAGCTGTCATGTCTCTCAGTAGTCTATTTCCGTATTGAGATCTGCGATGAAATATTTGTCTGCTCCACCATCGGCGTCTTGTTTTACTTTTTTTCTTTTTCTTTCTCAAAAAAATCACCGTAATAGTTGCAAATGCTAATGCTGCACTGGGAGTTACCAGGAACATTGTCTCGGGTAAACTGGCGGCTCACCTTGTTTTCACCTTTCAACCCGAAACGTTTCACCCCGTCGCCGACACATATTCCGCGAAACATTTTCGCGAATCATCTTCGCGAAACAGTTTCGCGCAGTGACAACCCAGCTTAAGCTTCATTAGGAAATATCAAATAGCTCTGAAACTAATTGATTAAATATATATAATTTCTTGTCAATATCCTGACAATAAGTCTCTACTTTCTCTAGAGCAGTCCTAAATGGTTCTTGGTTGAGATTTTTAAATTCACATTCAAGAATTGTGATCGGATAATTTGGTACATTAGATACTTTACAACTTCTCGGAATATCGTCAGAACAAAAAAAGAGATCTAGAAGGTTTCCGAGGAGACTCCAAATCTGGTCGGCGAAGCTACTATTTCATGCAAACGAAAAGCATTCAACGAACCATCAAATAACAGCAAAACTCTGAGGATTTATGGTCATAGGTGAGGATTTATGGTGATTTACGAGGATTTATGGTGGTCTATGAGGATTTGTCGGTGATTTATGGGAATAATTCAAAAAAAATATTTATGGTGGACACAATTTTGAGCAAATATTTACTCCTCGACTTGCTCGATCTTTGGACTTGAACCCCTCATCTGTGGAGCAGACTTATGTTTCACATTCTTACTCATTTTTTTTAGAAGAGAAGGACAGCTAGTTCGAAGATGACATTTTTTTTCGGAAAAACTTAAATGTTTTATCAAAAATCCATATGATGACGCTTTTTAAGTTACTTAATTCGGGTGCGAAAGGACTATTACGTAAAAAACCTATTAAACGTCATAAAACCGACAAAATGTCCAGTTGCTTCCTAGATAGTTCCTAGTGTGCAAATAGTGCATTCCGTGTTTGCGCGCTGTGAGCGGTATGAGCGTCATCAAAAGCGTCTATCTATGGAGGAATGACTCAACGACACAACACACTCATTGACCATGCTGCAAGCTGTAAGTCAGTTCTCCAACATACTTTGTTGAATGCAGAATGCTGAGATAGTCTGTAGAGTATATCCACTCTGAGAAGATGTGAGGTTAAGTAGCAGAGTAGCAAAATGCACATCTGGATGATTGTGTGTATTGGTCTGCATGTCTATAAAATCAGTGATATCTGTTATGTGAGATAATTATTACTGAATATGCTGCCAATGGAATATATATATATATATATATATATATTTATTAGCTGTGGCAGACAGGTTTTTTATGTTGTCCTTTCTGAAGAGTTTTACATCACGATTTTTACATTTTCAAAAACTTAGACGCATTACGAAAAATCAGCACCGCACACGCGTTGTGTGTAATTAAGCCACATCACAGAAAAATTAGGAATTTCGCATCAAATGCAAAACATTTTCGCACTGCCTCACATCTAGCTGCTGATTTGTATTTTCTTCTGGACATCGTAAAATAAATTTCTATAAAATTTAAATGACAAAAAACAAAAAGCAGTGGGCTGCAATGATATATTCAACACAAGTTTGAGCGGGAAGTAGATTTATATTATATACTGTATTTTATACAACTTACACCTTCAGGTAGATCGGATTTTGATTATATATATGTATGTATATATAAATGATTGGAAATAAAAATTAATGTGAAATGTAATAACTTTTTTATGTTTTATGAATATCCCTGTATGTACCATACTTTCTCACTTGTTAGCTTTAATACACTTCACCACCCAGCGATTTTCTTTTCTTATTACTCTGTTTTCTGAAATTCAGCAAATTTGCATATGTAATTTTCAGATTGAATAATGAAAAGCGGATGTCCACCTAGAACTGTATTAGCACACAAGTCCTCATTATGCACCTATGCACTACCGTTTCCTTCCAAACGACAGTATACAATTTGCAGGTTAGGCCTCCAATAATACCATCTCTGAAACAGATGTTGCATCACATCAGACCCAAACATGATTGTGGCTTCATTGTTTTTGAACCTCCCTGTAGTACACCCACGCACCGCCACTGCACTAAAGCAATTCATCCTCATGCTGTTAACATTTAGGCCGGTATATAACCAGCGTGACGGTTCAGTGGCCACCAACCGCCAAAATAGCCGTTGGTTTTTGGCAAATTGGTCCAATTAGCGTATCAAGAATCAACAGACAAAGACGCAACGGTGCGTTTCTGCTAGACAGACAGTCTGATGGACAATCAGCGATTATTGTTTACATTCCAAGGACCATGTAGCCTCATTATGTTTAAGATTGTACGCTGGATATGTTGTATGATAAATGGTAGAATGATCTATGGGTCAGCTTTTAGACGTTTATCAATTATACCGGACCGATATCTGAATGAATGTTCATTCGTGAATGAAGAGAATATATGCTAATGTCTGAGGGTAAAATGGCATGAGCTGGCAGATGGGACACATTTTTTGTCTCTGGAGAGTACCTTCGGAGGAATGATGCTTTGTAAGGTCGAGCGGCTCGGTTTGAAGATGTGCTCAAATTTTGAGGGTTTGACAAAAATGTGAATTTTAGCGTGTTGGAGTGTCTTCCATTTTCTCGGTACTCTTATCACTGGAAAGCATTAGGGCCGATAATATATGACTATCCCGAACTAAAATTGTCCAAGACAAGAATGCGAATTGCGATATGAATTCTTTCGACGAATACTTCGATCAAAAGTCAAAAGTGATTTTTTTAAATGTTTTAGTGGTTTATTGAGCTGACAATTCGAATGCCTTCCGAAACAGGAAATGCACAAAATATTTTATTTTTGTAAGGGAGATGGGGTTGTCTATATCTCCCTATATAAACGGAATTTTGGCACTCGAGCCTTTCAATTGAGTGGATAGGCTTCTGAAACCGATTTTCGATACTACAACCTATGGAGTCTTAACTCTACGTAAAATCTCAAATTACTAGGTCGAACAATTCGCTCTGGAGATGTGCTGAAAGTTTCACGGTTCGGAAAAGAATTGAATTTTGGCTTGCTACTAAGCTTATCGAAAGAATTCAAGAATGGTCTTTAAATTGCGATCTGATAATTCGTATGGCAGATGCTTCAGCCTGAAATCGTTTTTTTTAAATTACTCATTATTTTCTTGGGCTGATAAATAAAAATCCGCAGATTAATGCCTCTGATGATACTAAACTCGGTCAGACGTGATAGCGCGGTCAGACAATAGCAACTATACTAAGTGACATATAAATCCGAACACTCAGTTTAAATGGTTTTATTTTAATAAAATTTTGTATAAGTACTTAACTGCTTTAAAGCCCTTTGACCTTTAATAATGTGTGGATGCACCCTGATGTGCTACGCATTCTCCAACCCGCCTAGGCATGCTTCTGATCAGGTGGTCAATGTCCTCCTGTGGTATCTCATTCCAGGCAACCACCAACTCCTCTCGAAGTGCTTCTAGAGTCTGAGGAGGACGTTGCAAATTGAGCAATCTCCTACCCATCATATCCCACACGTGCTCAATTGGGATAAGTCGGGAGATCTTGGTGGCCATGGTAACAATGTGACATCATTATGTTGAAAGAAGTCTATTGTGACTCTTGCAACAAGTGGTCGGGCATTATCTTGTTGGAAAGTTGGATCTGCCAGGGTGTCAAGATAGGGTAAAGGATGGGGTTCTAGATCTTCGTGGATATAACGCTGCGCGTTCATGTTACCTCTGATGAAGATTAAAGGTGACCTGGAACCATAAGCTATAGCACCCCAAACCATAACTCCAACAGTGTGATGAACATGTCTTTCAATAAAAAACTGTGGATTCCTCCTTTCACCACGTCGCCTTCTAACCCTGGCACGACCATCGTGCATGACTAAACAAAATCGAGACTCGTCACTAAAGACAATACTGTTCCATTCCTGATCCCAGAGTGACCGTTGTCTGCACCACTCAAGGCGATTACGTCGGTGTTCTCGAGTTAAAGGGAGGACCCAGTGTGGCCGGTATGAAAACAAGCCAAAACTTTTCATTCGTCGGTAAACACTTCGCATGCCATTGCAATGGACCTGGTAGTGGAGAAACGGTCCCTTAAGGCCAATAATCTTAGGCGGCGATCTTCACGGTCTGTTGTTCTACGGCGGCGTCCAGTGCCCCTTGCTCTTTGCGTACGGCCGTCTCGAAGCCATGCCTGACAACACCTAACCACAGTGTCTACACTTCTTTGCACTCTAACTGCAATTGCCCGAAAAGAAAGTCCAGCTTCCCGAAGTCCCACTATACGGCCCCTATCAAACTCACTAAGTTGACGAAATCGTACAGGTCTCCGTACTCTAGGCATCGTAACCGATCGTAAAGGATGTCAAGAACCAAAATCCGCCAACGTTGATTCTTTACTGCGGCTGAAATATTCATTTTTAGAGCGTTAGTGAATTAAAAAAAAGCAGTATAAAAACCGGAATGTCCAACTGATAAGGCTGAAAATTTTTTCACTTGTTATTTACAGTAAGATAAATTACATTCACCAACTTTTATTAAAATAAAACCATTTAAACTGGGTGTTCGGATTTATATGTCACTTAGTATATGTTGTGGTGCGGCAGAAATACAGGTGATATGAGAATATTTTAGTTTTAAGGCTAATGTACGAAGCAATCTATGATGAGGGAAATATGTCGGATAAGTGCGTAGAATTACCAAGGTTGGTAGCGTATAAATTTACATGAGTACATCAAAATTCTTGACTCAATGTGATTTCTGTCCAGTGCTTTGAATGTCAACGTGAAACAATTCAAGCAAGCGCAGGTAAACGGCGGGAGTAACTATAATTAAGGTTTTTGTGGTCGAAAGGTTCCTGACCTCCACGCGGTGACCACTGGGCAACGGTCATCCACCCGCCTTACCTTTTGGTTTGGATTAACTAGGGAACCAGCCCCCCGCTTACCCGGTTGGGGTCTGTCTGCGGGCAGCTACAAGGGGTCGGTGTGAAACGCCGAGGGCGAGATACAGACCACCTGGTATCTTATCTCTTAGGGGAAGACATGGGTTCGACCCAGCCAGCCGAGTCGCATCTGTAATGTATAGGCTAGAAGCAGACGAACCAGAGCCTCGGAATATCGGGGTGGTGATGTGCCCACAACATCCCAAAATCCTAGACTAGAGGTGTTGATCCCCTACACAGAAAGGTCATGCCCCCTATGCCTAAAAAGAAGCATAAACATCCTACCTATGACCTTCAATGATGAGACAAAACACGTAAAATCAGAACATATTGACATTCGGACCCGATTTAAATGCAGGATGTGCACAAAAAGTTATTTATCCAAACATGCGGCACTGTGTCACACCCCCAAGTGCCCGGTGGGTGCTGCTGCGACAGCCCCACCTTCAAAGTCAATAGACTCTAAGACACAGGGGACGGTAGAGCTACCGTCCTTGAAGAAGAAGCGCCCGCAATGGCTGACATTAGCGTCGATGATGCTAGAGTAGGGGTGGCTCCCCTACTCCAGTCCCGCAGATACTCGAAGTATCAGCGATAGCCATTGCTGGGGGTGAATACGACACTAATCATATCGCCCCCACCGCCGTAAATATAAGTCCAGCTCAGAGGCCTGACATGTCAGATAGGGTACTGACTATCAGCGAAGAAGAGTTGGTATCGCCAGCAGTTTCTCCCTAAGAGGAACTTTGGAGACAGTATGTTGCTCACACTGCCCTTAGCTGCCAGTTAGCTCAAGCGACACAGCAACATCTGAAGGTGAACATGGTCACCCAGCTGCTAAGAAATGCAATCTCCATCTGCGATTTGCCTACTGGGCAGCCCCAATCGCAGATAGATATCTTACACGACATAGTCGACGAAGGGGTAGGCGTCGAGGAATAAAAAAGAGGGACAACAGACAACATCTACGCCCTTCCCTCTGAACCACCACTCGACTTAGATTCTGTCCTATCCGCAGTGACGGCGAAGGAGGTGAATACGCGTCTCTCCCGGATGAAAATCTCCACGGCACCGGGCCCCGATAGTATTAAAAAAGGGGATGTTAGGCACGTTCCCCGTGCCACCGAAGTCCTCCAATTATTTTTCAACCTAATTATGATTAGCGGTAAGATTCCCACTGCTTGAAGGAAAAACCAGACCACAGTGATCACTAAAGAGGGTAAGTTAGCTGAAAACTGCCGTCCAATTAATATCTCATCACTACTGTCGAGAATTTAATTTAGCACTCTCGACAGGAAACTTAGGGCAAAAACTTGATTCTCACACAGACAAAAGGACTTCATGAACGACTCTGGGTACTTCAATAACGTTCACATCCTCAACGAGCTGCTGAGGCACTCGAACGTCAAGACTGGCGTGGTCGTAACGCACATGACTCAAGCTGACGAGGTAAAATACTTGAGGTCTGACAACAGCAATACCAAACCACGAGACTAGAGGACTAGAGACTTTGCTCCCCAATAGTGAGAGGTAGTGCCCTCTATGCATGAGGGATGGCGTCAATATACTGCACATGATACAAGCTGATGAGGCAAAATACTTGAGGTCTGACAACAGCAATACCAAACCACGATTCAAATGCAGGATGCGTATGAAAAAATAAACCATCCCCCTGATTACCCGGCCGGAATGTATCTGCGGACAGGCTTAAAGGGTCGGTGAGGAAACGCCGAGTGTGAGAAGTAGATCACCTGGTATCTTACCCTTAAGAGGAAGTTGTGCCACCCAGCCCAGCCAGCCAAAACGCATAAAAGACCTACTGGCTATGAGAACGAAATGAAGCCTCGGAAGAGAGGGGTGGTGATGAGCCCACACCAACACAAAATTCAGGACTATGGGCCCAACATGATGACAATGGCAATGACAATGGACTAGAGATTTTGCTCCCCAATAGTGAGAGGTAGTGCCCTGTGTGCATGAGGGATGCCCTCAATATACTGCACATGACACAAGCTGACGGGGTAAAATACTTGAGGTCTGACAACAGCAATACCAAACCACAATTCGAATGCAGGATGCGTATGAAAAGATAAGCCATCCCCCGATTACCCGGCTGGAGTCTGTCTGCGGGCAGACTTAAAGGGTCGGTGGGGAAACACCGAGTGTGAGATGCAGACCACCTGATATTTTTATTCATTTATTTATTTGCTTATATTTATACTTAATCTGTGGTATCCAGCTTCGGTTATTTTAATTTGTTCTCACCTCACTTTATTGGTGATCATTCATTGGTGGAGCGTGAGTTTTGATGTTGTGCAGTAGGTGCGAGTCGTATGACCGCTTCCTATGGGAGGCTGGTCGCGACGTCGCAGCGTGCTCTGAGGTGGGTTGTGCATGCCAACATCGGCGACAGCCTATACGAGGCTTTCCCTATAAATGTAGGGGTCCCCCCTCAAAGAGAGTCCCCCTCGGGCCTATAGACGTTTCCTCTGATCTTAGGGGTCCCATTCACCTAATTTTTCCTAAGCTTAGATCAGCGTTCCGGCAGATAGCTATCATTTCTGCTCCCGCGGGAGGGCACCGGCCAGGAGTGCTAATAGTAGGGACATAGAGGGGTGAGCAAAGATAGATCCTCGGGGTCACCTGATCTGGGTCTGAGCCGCACCTAGTCCATTGACTTGGCAAAGAGGACCACCCCGACCATTGGAAAGTACTCTCCGTGGAGTAGATAGCAAAATTGATGGCTCGTCATCTGATTTGTTCTTGAGCCGCTAAATTGGTCGAGTAGGCCTTGGCAACCAATTTCCGATATTTTTGACCAAAATTTACCATTTACATCATGCTAGAGTAGGCGTATGAATGCTATTGGAGATTAATTATAGAGCTTAGTCATCTCATAAATATATCATATTTTATTTCAAGTAACTCAAAATCGGAAGATGACAGCCAAATTCTGTAAACTGAATGTGAAAGGTACGTATGTCACGCACCTTTTTTACAATTATCTCTTAATAGCTCTAGTAGCTAGCATTAGGCAATGTGCTGATCCATTTGCAACATAGCCTTTGTGTAACTGAATTTCCAATGACATCCATTTTCCCCTAGCATCATGAAAATGGTAAAGTTTAGCTAAACAATATCGATAATTGTCGATGAAGTCCAATTCGGACAATTTGGAGTCCCGAGAACTCATATAGAGCGATCGTTTAAGACTTTTCCTTTGAGAAAAAATTAATATTACGCATGTCTTGTTTCGGAAGTACAAGAAAACAATGAAACATTCGAAAAGAATAATTCTGATTAAAATATCTGCTAAACGAATGCTCACATCGTAATTTAAAGATCATTTTTATTCTTTGGACGATTTTACTCCGGAATGTAATCAATTGTAGGAAATGTCCATACTTATTCAGCTACAACAGAGCAAAAGATGTTTTTAAAACCTATAAGATTGATTTTCTGATGTATTTTTGAAGAACTTTCTTAGTTATATAAATGAGGAGGATTCATTCGATGGTTTTTGGTAGAAAACATGAGGACTTCGAAATTAGTGATTTCGGACGAAGCCAATAAGGCTTGAATATTGTATTGGCTCGTAACCTTATTTTTATTGTTAGTGAATTTAAAATCGGTACTTTGGTGCAAATATTATATAGAAAAAAAAACAAAACTGCGGACTGATAAAAGTGGCTACCATGAAGAATCTCTAGAATTTGGGATCGGTTATGGTTGGTTTATTCACTATTATATGAAATCAGATTCCTAACGATTTCTGATATGGGTTCGTTTACCCTGGGCGCCTGGGCAGAGTGTGAAATTGCACCTCTTTTGTTACCTACGTCCTTGATAGCTGCAACTAAGGATAATTGTTTATTTTTTGAAGATGGGTGAATAAAGATTTTTTTCAGATGCTTGTCTTATCGTTTCATCGTTTCTTAATGTGCCCTCGTGCTTCTAACTTAAAAAATATCTATATTGTTGCTCATTTGGAATGTATACGCACGATAAAATAAATAATAATTGTTTTGTGATTTAAAGACACTCCAATTTAGCGTGATGGGCAACAGCGGTGGAGTAGTGGTAGATGTTATGGGTCTACTTATATTATCAGTCGCTGTGCGCTGCGCGGGTTCGAATCCCGTCCCAACAGAATTTTTCGATTGGCTATGGATGTTGTAGTTGTAGCCGTACCAAATACTGATCACGTTCTGGGCGAATTTGACAATTTTTAGTGGACCAGGTAATTCGCATGTTTCATGTTTGTGATTAGAATACTTCGGAACTGAACGGTACCGACGTTCGGTTTTAATATTTTAATGGTGATGACTTATTTGTTAAGGTTCTGTCTATGAAGTTCTAGGTCGATAGCTGGAATTAATTGTTAATAGCTATATGTGTAGCAAATTCAGTGTGTGGTTTTTTGAAATGGTAGATGGCGTCACTTCTGAAACATCAGTGGTCATTTCGTATAGTATGGAGATATACAGAGTGTTTCAGTTTATTGTTGCATAACTTTAAGATTCGATAGAACTTTTAAAACTAATGCATAAAGTCTATATAAACATGGGTCGGTGGCTTCCGAAATAATAAGTTTACTTTTTAAAATAGTTTTTTTTTTAAATATTTCGAACAATATATGACGTATAACAGTGAAAATTGGTATACAAGGGTTTTCTGGTTCAACAAAACGAACCATGGGCATAGTTTTATTGTATCCGCTAGAGGGTGCTCTCTACTGTACCTGTAGTGTATTAAAATGACCGAAAAAATTTTCTTAGTACAATTTTTTGCTTTTTGAATAAAAAAACTGATTCTTCGCACTTTTCTGCATAAAAAAAGCTCTCCTGTGAGTTTTCGTTATAGTTATCTGTTTTTAAGATATTTCGATTTTTAAGGTTCGATGCATTTTTAATTATTTATGGGAAATAATATTTTTTTTTACATTTTCGATTTGGGCATTACAAGTAATTAAGATGATCGTTTAGATTGTATTTTTATACACAGCAATAATTCCTAACTCCAAATGAACAAAAAAAAACAGAATATTAATTTGTTTAATTTTCCAGTATCATTTTTAACAAATTCAATTAATTATTTACAACTAAAATGCTATTGGAATGTTAGGACAAACATACAAAACCTAAAGTAGTTGCTCGAAATGTAAAATCAATTGTTCAATACACAATTCACATCTACGAATGATCGAACGTGGTATAGCATTATTCAAATAAGGCCTTATTTAATCACATGCATCCTGATTCTATTAGCATATCTCTTCTGGTTACGGGAGTCTGGTACACTTTTTTTTTAGAAATCCCCACACAAAGAAATCTAATAGATTTAGGTCAGGGGATCGTGGAGGCCAGGCGACTGGTCCTCCACGGCCGATCCATCTTTACCTGGATAATTTTCGTCCAGCCAGTTTCTGACTATTCTCGAATAATGAGCTGGACAACCATCAAGCTGGAACCAGGCCAGTCTTCTTAAATCTAACATAACATCATCCCACATATTTGCATGTTAAGCCTTTAAAAATTCCAAGAAAGTCGCAGCATTTAATCTTGAAAGCAAAAGGTAGGGTCCAAATAGTCGATTACGGTAGATACCAATCCACACGTTCACACCAAATTCATGCTGAAAATTTCTTTCTCGAACTGCATGCGGATTTTCATGCGACCAAATATGTTGATTATGAAAATTTACCACTCCACGTCTAGTGAAGCATGACTCATCGGTCCATAAAACGTTACTTAAAAACTCCCTATTATTATCAGTTCTATCAAGGATCCACTGACAAAATGTGATTCTTCGTTCTCCGTCCCCTGGCTGTAGTCCTTGCACAGGTTGCAAATGGTAAGGACGTCTATGGTCATTTCTAAGAACACGGTGAACATGGCTTGCTGAAATTCCCAAGGCACCAGAAACTCTCCTAACACTTGTGGTCGGATCTCTATCAAACTCACGCAGAAACATACGGGTAAATCTGCGCTGACAAACATTTATGTTTTGATCCCTTTGGAGATTTCCAAAACCATTTTCAATTATTTGGCGATGCACTCTTACAAATACTGAGCGAGTTGGATGTCGTCTGTTTGGAAATCTTCGTGCGTATTCTCTGGCTGCTTCTGCTGCATTTCCATTTACAAAGCCATACACAAAATGAATATCCGCTAACTCTTAATTGGAGAATAAAAATGGCATTTTTATAAAACTTACAAAAAAAATCAGGTAAAAGAAACTAAATTTCGTGCATTCACAATTGCAAAAAAACGTTTCAGGTTTCAACAGACAACAAACCTAACTGTCAACTAATTGACGTTTAACCTTATTCTGCTTTCAATTTCAAAAATATTTGAAGGCACAGCCTACTTCTAAAAATTATCGAGATACTGACTTTTTAACGTTATTTTATCATAAATAATTAAAAATGCATCGCACCTTAAAAATCGAAATATCTCAAAAACGGCTAACTATAACGAAAATTCACAGGATAGCTTTTTTATGTTGAAAAGTAAGAAGAATCCGTTTTTTAATTCAAAAAGCAAAAAATTGCACTAAGAAAAATGTTTCGGTCATTTTAATACACTACAGGTACAGTAGAGAGCGCCCTCTAGCGGCTACAGTAAAACTATGCCCATGGTTCGTTTTTTCGTACCAAAAAACCCTTGTATACCAATTTTCACTGTTATACATCAAATATTGTTCAAAATATTTAAAAAAAAAACTATTTTAGAAAGTAAATTTAAACACCCTGTATTTCGGAAGCCACGCATTTTTCGACCCATGTTTATATAGACTTTATGCATTAATTTTAAAAGTTCTATCGAATCTTAAAGTTATGCAACAATAAACTGAAACACCCTGTATACATGAATATTTATTTTGTGTTGGTAAACGAGAAATGTATATGGAAAAACCATTATGTTGCGTCTTAGAAACAGGACAAAAGCAGGTGCATTTATCATCAGCTCCTTTCTCATTTTTTTGAATTCATGTCGCTCCAGAAATATTGAAAAATGCACGAACATATTTTTTTCCCTGCAAGAATAACATTTTACGAATGTTCCTCGGAAATGCACGTTTATGCCATTTTCAAGCTCTTGAATGAACAAAAACTCATCATGCGCCAATTTTTAAACCCACCATTTCGAGAGGACATAAAAGATACACAAAAATTACATTGTGTTTACTCTACATATTGAAAATATAAAACAATATAAATTTTCCCAAAAAAGCGCGAAGAGGTTGCCGGTTTTTAAGGGCATTTTATGTAACTCATCACATAGTGAACAAGAACTCATGGAAATAAACTTAAAGTGTTATGATCATTAATCAAAACGTTATAAAATTGTCAACTGAGGGTTTGGATACTTGTTACGTGATCTTGACCATTCATAATTTCTATTATTATTAACCCTCCCCCAGACTTATGGGCTCCACCAGAAATCACTAGCCCATAGGTGCCATGTAAGTTTCGTTAAAGAGTTACCGTATAGATGTCGCCTTTACCATCTTCAACATATATTTTTATTAATCTGATGAATCACTTTTCATTGAAGGAACGTGAAATATATCTACGGAAGTCCTGTTCCTTCACGTTTAATCACTCATACGCAAATGGTTTCCTACGCCTTAGAAACAAAGACCAAGTAGAGCATAAAGTAATTGGACGGCCTTGTTCACCTGCGCAGCCTATACAAGGCGATTAAATTTACCGATGGTATAATGAGTATTATATATCATGAGCTCCACAAGATGATCCATTTAGTATCCTCGGTAGACTACACAAGCAACTCGTTGAAAAGATAAGATGCAGAAAATGATGCATTTACATCAGGATAAGTAATAATCCAGGTTTCTCAAGGGTATAAAGGCGGGAACATTAGTGCCACGTTATGTGAATTCATGTGCTCTCACGCAAACGTATGTCCCAAAGTGGTGGCTGAGGCCACGGCAAGATGTTTCTATCAATAATCTGTCAGCAAAACGCGTAACACATTGTACACCTCTGCTATAAGATCTAACGAACCAACGAATTCGAATATGTTAGAAGGCCTATATTTATTTATTTATTTATTTCCAACAGGTGAAACCCAATTACAGGAAACGCTGAAAAAAATAACAATTAAAGAGACATGGGTCTTGGACTTAAATCTATAGTATCACACATTCTAAATAAGATTGGATGATCTATAGCAGTCAATAATCGATTCACAACTGTCACTGTAAATATCACACGATTCAGTAGCACTGTTCATGACGCAGCACATGAGATTAATTGGCGATTTTGTCATAACATTTGTACGGCCAGCTTGACAATAGAATGCCGTTTGTTGTCGACTCCCTAGCCTTGGAACGCCGAAACATATTTTTTCAAATAAATTTTGACAGTCAATTTTATTGTGAATGAGGCCGTACAAAAACGACAAAGCAAATATGTTTCGTCTTGTTGACAGTGAATCCAAATTGAAAAACTCTAATAGGGCACTATGGTCACAACCTCTTTCTGGATAAGAACCTGTGCATTTAAGGTGAAAATACTTTAAAGCTTTACGTTGAATGACCTCAAGGATCGCAACAGAATTTTGGTATATAGGAGACCAGATCAGAGTCGCATACTCCAACGTGCTCCTGACAAAGGTAAAAAATAAAGTCATTAATGTATCAACATTGGAGAAATCCTTCCAGTTTCTGATACAGAAACCAAGTAGTCGAGTGGCAGCCGGCGAGATATTGAGTATATGCTCAGTAAACGTTAGCTTGGTATCAAAAATGACTCCAAGGTCTCTATAAGAGGTGCATCTGTCTATAACCTGACCATTGATGTTATAATTATCATAAATTAAATAGTTAACTTTTCTTGTATAAGTCATAACTTTACATTTAGAAAAATTCAGACTGAGACAGTTTCGTGAAAACCATGACGAAATTAGAGCTAAGTCATCTTGCAACATGACGCAATCCTCGACTGTCTTGACTGACGTGCAGATTTTAAGGTCATCAGCGAAAAACAAATGGAAACACTTCAGTTCAAAAGACAAGTCATTAATAAATATTAAAAACAATAATGGACCTAGATTTGACCCTTGTGGTACCCCAGACGTGGCCCGATAGTAACTCGACCTATGACCACCATATTCGACAAATAACCTTCTATCCCTCAAATATGAATTCATGAGCGACAGCATTGCATCAGACATACCCACTGTTTTAAGCTTATCCAGAAGTGCATAATGATCAACTTGATCAAACGCCTTCTGAATATATGTGTAGATGACATCAACTTGTCCCTGACCGTCCAGTACTTCAGAAATGTACTGAGTAATCAGAGCCAAGTTGGTGACCGTAGATCTGCCTCTCATAAACACATGCTGATTAATAGAGACTGCACTCCTGACCGAGCAGTAAACCGTTTCATAAGCGATGATCTCAAACATCTTGCTGAAATTGCACAGGATTGCTATTTGGCGATAGTTTGAAATATCAGAGATATCTCCACTTTTGTGAATAGGACATATTTTAGAGGTCTTCCAGATATTTGGATATGTATCTGATTTTAGAATTAGGTTGAATATGGAAGCCAGCGGTTTCGCTAGTACTTATACGAATGCAATCTTTAACGAAAAAACTTGGAATACCATCACATCCAGACGTCATTTTGTTCTTTAATCTTTTCTAAGCCCTAATTACGTTTTCTTCACTTATATTTTTTAAAGAAATGATATCGGTAGAATTATTTGTTGGAGGAGATGACCCTAGTAGACCAGACGGGATAAAAACTGTTGGAAAGAAGGTAGCAGAACTGTTCACTATATCCTGAGGCGTATTGCAGACATTGCCGTTAAGCGTCATCCTTGGGGGGATTCTAGATTGCTGTTTTTTGATCTGGGCAAATGACCAGAATTTGCTAGGATCATTGACAATGGCATCCTCAACCGATTGGATGTAAGCGGAGTATGTTTATATTATATTGTTAGTCGCCAAAATTGTGTAGTTTTAGGGCCGTATCGTCAGTCGTTCCTACAATTGTTGGATGCCCTTATGGCCTCCTCGATTTTTATAGTTTTCTACTGTTCCGTGTCAGCACTCTATTTTGAGGTTATGTTACAAATATTTATTTCCATCAAATTGTTCATGCTTTTGATTTATATCATCTGTTATATGGCCAGAAATTTCCTACAATTCAAGAAGAAAACATAGCCTGGCAATCGGAGAGTACTGATGCTGACACGGAACAGTAGAAATATAGAAATATTCCCGCCTGTCTGAAGGAGAGGAAAGACTATGAAAATCAAGGAGGCCATAAAGGCGTCCTACAATTATTGTAGGAATGACTGACGATACGGCCCTAGTGCCTACTTGTGCCTGATTTGCATACCATTGCCTACCAATATATCGGCGTACATTCTTTTCTCTGGAAACAATATTTATCTAGCTATTCGTGCTAGAAGTACTCATGTAGAGCAAAGCAGAAAACTATCTGTTGCGATGTGAGTTGCTCAATAAACCGGGACAAATTAAATAAGCCAAAGTAAGTATTTATGAACAATCTACTTAATTCCTGATTTTGAAAGGTGAACAATACGAAACATACAGCTATTCTCCATCAAACAGCAACAATGGTGGAATACCTGATATTGGAAATAGTGGGACACCTACTCGATTTTTCTGAATAGTTGTAATCCAAGCAGATTCTTGACTAATAGCAAATACCTAGTTGAGCATAATATTGAATTCCTGGTATGGTACCATTGTCACTATATTTATCCAATAACAATATTATAGAAGTATTTTAATGAACTTGATAAACATAGTTTTTTTTTGGAAGTACTCCATAGAAATCCGGGGCACTAAAACGAGATCGTAAAATTACTACTTATAACAGAAAAAGCGTTCGTGTGATAACTATGATTCTCAAAAAAAAGTCTGTGAAGTTACGTTGCTGCTTCGTGAATTCTGCCAAGGCTAATGGAATAACTGAATCATACTACTTACTATGCAAAACCCCTCGGGGTGTCTACGTTTTCGCTATACGGCTTTTGAGAAACAAATAGGAAATTATTATTACTCACTCCCAGTGCCAGGTTTGTTTTCGATCTTAAAACTGAAAAGCAAATAACGAATAAGTGAAGGTAAACGTTTAAAAAATCCTCATTAGTTCTAATTGAGAAAATATGATAAAAGACATGACCGCCTTTTTTACTTCTATAAATAAAGAATGGAGTATTTGGGAAAGAATATTGATGGATAATGGTGTGAAATATCCGGAATATTATACGAACGAATGAATATGAATTGGCGAATAATTTCTCATTGAATGTACACAAAGATTTATGGGAAAATACATTAACGGCAGTGAATCTAAGGCCATTAAAATCGGATAACATAAATAATAAATTGGTTCTAGTTATAAACTCATCTATCACCTCATTCTATTTATTATTACTAATTGTAGAATTTTGTTTTGATAGTAGGTCCTTTTGGCTGTGGCCACCAAGTTCTGATTTTTTGGCTCGAAAATATTCCGTTTTAATTACTGGGAATATTTTTGTAAAGCTGAATGGGTTTTTCAGATCCTTGCTTGACGATCCAGTTATCAGTATTATTTTTCTTAAAATGCTTTAAAAGATGAAAGTTCACGTTAAAAGGATATAAAAAGAGTTTACACGCAATAACTATGCAATGTGTGTTATTATGAATGTTATATACGTTATATTTCCAACCAGTTCTTGGACCTCAAACCACACCTAAATAGCTAATATAATTTGCTTCGTACTTACGGGAATAATACATTTCGCACCCTGGGACATCAAAGTTCAATGAACACGGTCCTAGAAAGATCTGGTCAATAGTTGCTAATGACGATTTTCCTACTCTGGTTGGCCACATTAGTATCAGATGCAAGTCAAAATCACTGACAGTGTCAATAAAACCTTTAAATTACTGGTTTGGTTTATAAAAATCAATGTTAAAATCGCCACACAGTACAAGTTTAACATTTGGTTTATATAACGAGCTCAACGTATTAGGTAAAACTGGTCATAAAATAACAGACAAATTACCACGAGAACGATAACACAACACCAGAACAGTTTTTTTTAAGAAATGGTACACATTCCATTTTTTTTCTATTTTGGTATGTCTATACTTCTGTATACAATATTATTTTTCAGATATTTAGCAACTTCACTACCTTTAAAATAGTTTCTGCTATAAAAGTCGCATAACTCATAGTCCTCAATTTCGATGTTTATATTTAATTATATTAATATCAAGAAGGAGCTGATCGATTTTGCTATTATTAAAACTTTGAACGTATGACTTACATGGCGATTGGAATATTTTTTCGATTCAATGTTTACAGAATTTTTCACACACACTTCATCTAACCGACCGAGGTTACATTCCTGCGTTTCTGTAAAAGAATAGCTTATGCAAGAAATTTTATCAGCATCTCACTCATAATTGAAAATGCTTTCTGACATGGTCACTTCAAAAGATGAGTATAAGTCAGGATATTTATAGTTTAATTTCTCTATAGTCGCCTCCGGGAAGTTAGATTTGACCATAGATTCTACATCACCTGTGTTTGTATTTGGACGTAGCCTAGAAACATGTAGAGATATTTTCTTCTGAACTCCTATCACTAAACCACTAACTGCGCCACTACTTCCACGGGGTGACTAGGGGATACTGCTTACTGCAGCTGCGATGAATGAGCACGTGTTGAGGTCGCTCTGTTGATTTGTTCCTGCGCTGTTCCCACAGCGCCAGCCACCTGTTGCCTGGTGATAGCACCACCTCTGTTGGTACCTGCTAGTGGAGTTGATTGTCTGATTTCTCTTGATTCTTATTTTTATCGCTGATACGTGTTTGGCTAGTATTTCTACTTTTTTTGATGGTTTTATAAACAATTAATGAAGTGTTTTCATGTTGGAGAGATGTCGCTGCTGTTAGATATGATAGTTTGTCGACTAAGATGTTTATGGCTTGTTGCTGCGTTTTTAAATATTGCATTTTATGTTTGTTCTTAAGATGATCAAGTATTTAGAGAACTCCACACATACGACATCGACATAGCAGTACTCAGCGAAACAAAGAAGAAAGGACAAGGAAACAGCTACAAAGATGAGTACATATGCTTTTGGAGTGGAGTAGAAAAATCGAAACGGGCCAAAGCTGGTGTAGCTATTGCAATAAAAAAGGTCATGGAGAAGTTCATAATGGACTGGAACCCAGTTGACGAAAGGATCATAACGGTTGACATGAAAATAAAAGGAAGAGAAATTAAAATATTCGGTATCTACGCGCCCACAGACGACTCAGATACAAACACAAAAGACAATTTTTTTGACAAACTCTCTGAGGAATTAGATAAGACGAAAAATAGACAAGAAATAGTCTTGATAGGCGACCTGAACGGAAGAGTGGGCAAAGCTCTTGACAGTAAAATAATTGGATAACACGGAGAGGAAGTAGTCAATGAATACGGAACCAGATGGATAGAGCTTTGTGAACAACACTCGTTAAGAATCTTAAACGGATTTTTCCAACACAAAGACATACACAAATATACTTGGACTCAAAAAACAAAAAACTTGAAATCAATTATTGACTATGTCGTGATTAAGCAGGACACTTCCATAATACCCTATGATGTAAAAGTTTGGAGAGGAGCTGAGTGCGGTTCAGATCACCTGCTAGTAAAAGCACCCATTGAAATTACTTACAATAAACATCTCATATATCAAGAACAAAATAACAATGGAAAACCCACAAAGCGATATAACATAGACAGCTTAAGGGATGAATCCACCAGTTTCCTTTACAAACTACGTTTAGCACAAAAACTGGACGAAGATATTAACGGCAAGGCAGAAGAAATGTATGAAACTTTGAAACACAAAATTCACGAAGCAGCACTAGAAGCCCTTGGTGTTAAAGATAGAACGGAACACAAAAATTCTTGGTGGACGGACGATTTAACCCAACTGGTAGAAGAAAAGAAAAACTTATATCTTAAATGGTTAACTACAAAAGACGATGAAGATCGAAAAAGCTATAATCGTTTTAAATATATAGTAAAAAAAGAAATTAAAAAAATAAAAAACAAAACATGGGAAACCAAATGTGCTGAAATTAGCTCAATGGTAGGAGGATCTAGGTCTAGAGAAGCTTGGCGAACTATAAATGGTCTTAAAACAAACACGAATGAAAGAAGAAAAATAAATCCCATAAAAATAGAACAGTGGAAAGACTACTACAATAATCTACTGGCAGAACAACGTGGAGAGTATTTAGACACGCAACTAGATATAGATCAAACGGGAGTTAACAGAGTAGATACCATTCAATTAGAAGAAATAAAAACAGCATTACAAAAAATGAAAAATAATAAAGCTCCGGGACCAGGAGATTTGCCTATCGAGTTAATTAAACACGCCACCACAAGAACGCACGAGCTACTTTGTGTAATTTTTAACAAGTGCCTGGAAGGGGAAACGATTCCCAGAGATTGGAGGAGCTCTTACATAAATTCCATTTATAAAAAGGGAAACAGGAGTGACTGTAGTAATTATCGGGGTATTAGTATTATATCGTCCATCGGAAAGCTGTACGAAAGAGTCCTAACAGCCCGAATAGAAGACGAAGCCACGGAAATTGAAGAACAAAGTGGATTTCGACCTGGGCGATCCTGTGTCGACAACATATTTACAATAAAACAACTGACAGAAAAGAGATTAGCAAGAGGAATGGAGCTACACGCTACTTTTATAGATCTCCGCAAGAAAGAAGCAGGCATAAATAGCAAATACATAAACGCCGTGAAACCAATGTATAGAGAAAACCAAGTGGTCGTTAAAGTCGGAAATCAAATTTCTGAGGCTTTCCCACAAACAAAAGGTGTTAAGCAGGGCTCCTGCCTCTCTCCAACCCTGTTTAAAATTTATCTCTGCAGCGCTTTAAAACAGTGGATAAGAAAGTGCAGCCCCATGGGGATATGGTTAGAGGACTTTCACTTGTATACAATCCTCTTTGCAGATGATCAGGTAGTCTTTGCAGAAGACCAGCAAGACATGACTTACATGATAAACAAACTTATAGAAGAATTCACTAAATGGGGTTTGGAGATAAATATACAAAAGACACAATACATGACTATAGGAGGCACAGGACAAGACATCGAAACAAAAAGCGGAAAAATAGAAAACGTCGGACAGTACCAGTACCTAGGAGTTACAATAGATGAAAGCGGAAAGGATAATAAAGACATACTAAGGAAAATAGGAAAAGGAAAAAATATGATTAAAGCACTACATCCGATCTTGCGGAGTAAGAACCTAACAAAGAAAACAAAAAAAATTATATATCAGGCTATGATTCAGCCAGTACTGACGTATGGGTCAGAAGCGTGGGTTGTAGATAAAAATATGTCACAAAAGCTTCTCTCAATCGAAATGATGTACTGGAGAAGATGTTCCGGTTTAACTTTACTTGACCATGTTAGAAATGAAACCATCAGAGAAAGAATGGAAGTCGAAAATACAATAATGGACGATATAACAGAGAGGCAGTTAAAATGGTATGGACACCTGCAACGAATGAACGAAGAAAGGATACCATTAAGGGTTTGGAAATGGACACCAGCACAAAGAAATAAACGAGGAAGACCACGAAGGAAATGGATTTCAAACATCCATACCGCAATGGAAAGTAGAGGATTACATGAAGGAGACTGGAACGATAGGATACGATGGCGTATGGGTTGCGAGAAGCGACCTTAGGTTGCAGAAACTCGCCATATATATATATATATATATGTTTGTTCTTGAAGTATAAGTATATCCCTATTACTTACGTCGATGTCGAATTGTCTTTCACACTAGGGGTTTATCTTTCCACAGAAAAGTAGCGTCTTCCCATCCACGTTTTAGACGTTTTTCATATATGTATTCGACAGAAGCACTATGAACTACTACGCATCTGTTCGTTTCCGCAACAACGCGAACCTTCTCACTCGTCGCCATCTTTACATCTCTCAATGTAATTATTTTCTCTGTTGTACCTGTTCGTAACTGACTTTTTTCTCAATGGATTAAGTTAAGGAGAACTTGAACCTCTATAAACTAATGACAGCGTTGCGCATGATGTGCATGGTCAACCTACTTGACTCCATTTTTTCAAGTATCTTAGAGGTGACGTTCGCATGACCAGATGGCCATTACTTTGATAATCCTACGTCCATCTGGCAAACATTCCATCCAAATAGCATTGCTTGGGCTTATCATACATACAGTGCATATTGCATAAAGCAATGCATAGCTTATTCCTACAATCAACCGAAAAAATATGTTATTGCAAACAGCCACTCAAAGCTAATTTATTCAATGACCGATCGCAAATGACAGACCTGCCGCTCTAGAGCACCAAAGTAGCGGAAACGCATGCTTTTGCTCAGAAAGATACATTAAGGGATGCTTCTGTATTACCAAATGTGTGTACATGGATTCTTGTCAATTTTACAACGGGTTATTTTCCATTAAGACTTTCTGAAAACCCAGAACAGTTCATAGGTGTATATTCTACACCTCACAGATGGCTTTGTTGTGGACAAACACCTTTAGGCCATAGCCTATCTCCGAAGATTAGGGCTATTGATTGTCACGGAATTTAGATGATGCTACCATACACATTATACCATTAATTTGTATGGTAGCCAGAAGCTTCTTGGTTTGAACCCAACTATAATATAGAAAAAGATAAATTCCTGCGGTCTGAGAAACAACCTTTTGTAGTACTAGTTTACACTAAAATGCTCAAAAATATTGTCGAACATGTCTGAAATGACGTGACTTTATTCAGAACCAATAGCAAAATTTAAATCATCGCCCTGCTGGAGGACATTTACCAATGAAGTGATATCAGTTCTATTTGTCATTGAATTTCCAGCTGCTTAATGTTTTAACCTCCTTACTTCAAGTGCTGAAAAACGCTAAAGCGAGGCAGGTGAGGTAGGACAAACATTGTTCCGTTTTACGCACTGGTGGGATCTGTCTCTTATAAGTTAAAATTAAGTAGAACCGTGGTCTGCAAGGCAGACACTTAAAAGAAGTAAGAGACGTACCTGCATAGCACAGCTGGCAGTGCGTCTCTCCAGCAAACAGGAGATGCGAAGTGTGGGTACTTTTATGTACCATAATTTTATACCAGTCTCAGAAAAATAGTAATGTTCTCTGCCCATGGGTATGTATAAGTATACGTATCCAAAAAATTCTGTTTCACGGGCTAGACGCCAAACGGCTGGATGTATTTTGACATATGAGATGTCGTCGGATTTGTCTTAGCAGTGCCAGTGACACTCGATATATTAAATTTTTTAAATACAAAATGGTGAAACTTAATGAAGACATCGACCTTAAAATTCCGTTTTTATAGGGTACAGCTTAAACGGCATGATGAATTTTGGCATATGAGGTGTCTCTAGCCTTGTCTTGATACCACAATTAAATCTTCATTCTTTTCAGTAACTGCAGTCGGGTCGTTTGATCTTTCGAAAATATACTTGGTTGCGAATATTTTTGTATTTAGAGCGGCTTTGTTGTTCGTATATTAAAATTGATCAATTTGATCGACCATTAACTTTCCTGTGTCTTCTTACAAAGAAATACTTATCATTTGATAATATTCACGTATAATTATTCCTATCATTCCTAGAATTCGGACACAAGCTCTGCTTTAGACACAAAAAACTACACAAATTCGTACGGCTTGGCCCTATTCAACCGTCAGGAATCATTCTGGTTGTGCAGTGCCGCAGCTGGAGAGCTTCAGATTCTTGGGAAAGCCCCATAGTTGATGACCACAGAGCCAAACATGTTTTATAATCTAGTTTTTGCTAATATAAAAACAGAGATTTCACACAGTTGCTTCCATCTGAATATTAATGTGCCAAATAACTACTTATCATCTATTTTTCATGCAGCGCATTCTGTCTAATTGAACAGTAACAACTTGTATAAGCATGAGAGCAATGTAGAACTGGGCCACGTTCTCTTTAAACCACAGACATCGAGAATCAGCAACAGGATCTAAATTTTGTCGTTCGTGTTCAGCAAGGTGTTATTATCTGACAAGTATAAAATCCATTTCCAATCAACTGAGTATGAATGATGGACGAAGAAAGATTCCTCTTAGAGCATTAGCGAATGCTGTACGGAGAAAGGATACGATGATGGAATGTATTTGTTGAAAGGTTCAACGAGATGCTGATAATGATATTAATTATATTTTATTACGAATGCTTCCTTGATGGCTCGGCTCTCGAACGTATTCGTGATAATCATCGTGTAGATGATTTGAATACAGATAAGGTGGTTTTTGCTTAGATTTTGCTACAAGCTGCTTTATAGGGTTTCAGGGTTATCGAGTTACTGTTTAATGCATTTTATTTGTCTTGAAAATCACTACTAGGTACATGTTGAACTGCGGTATCAGGGTAATTTTATGAGTGAAGAACTTGGGTTATTTCAGTATGAGTATGTCGGGCAGTTTATGCTAGTTTTATACCAAATAAGTTAGCATTAACTTAGAGTTGAACTAAAAGAATTGGGGTATACAAACGGGTTTTTCGGCCTGGACAGTAGCTCAGACGTCAAGTTGATTGCATCGATTTTTCCCATTAAAAAATTTTAAAACATATGTATTTTGAACTTCTGTCAACCTTTTGCTGGTTATTTGGTAGCTCTTTAAAAGCCTAAAGTACCAGGCACAAAACATATGGAATTTGACCACCGGGCAATCATTAAGAAAATTCGTATACTAATAGTTCCTGTTGTGTTGATCAAATTTTCTAATTTGCGAAAAGCTCAGAAATGCTTTCTACTGGAGATACAGGCTGTTAAAGTTTGGTGTCTTAGCCCCTGTGGGCAAACCTGCCTGCAACACTTTACGAAAATTGACTCGTCCTTATTGTAAACTTAACGATATAATGGAAATCATCACGTGAACACGTGTCTCAACGAAAATGGAAAGTAGTTTAGTAGAAAAATGATCAAAGATATGCGGAAACGATTTCAAGAATAGGCACTTTTTCAGACAAATGATATGATAACTAAACAAATGACTAGCAAAATCCTACAATATATTAATATTCTTGTTTGCGTATCAAATATAATATAGGGTGTTCTATGAAAAAAACATGTTTGTTGTACCACCTAATGGTGCAGCACCATGTATATTTCCAAATAGTCTAGAGATACACACCTATGATATGTCAATATTGTTGCATGAACCGTTTTCGGAAAACCTTAGGTAACTCTTTTATTAAACATTCTATTGTCGGGGTGACACCCTCTGTATATCGAAAGTGTTTATGTGATTTTTATTATATCGCTAAGTTCACTAGATACATTGAAGATAAGTTAGTTGCTTTGCGCCCATTAGAACGTTTGATTAGCATAACATGAACTATCACTAGGCATATGAATTTTCTTTAAAATTCACCGGTGGCCAAATTCCATAAGTTTTGTGCCTGGTACTTTAGCAACTCCCATAATTGTTCAACTTTCTAATATTCAACCTTTTTATTGTTATACGAATGCCTGGTCACAACAGTTTCTAGATCAGATGTATAATAAATACACTAAAGCTAAAAAAAATTGTTGCTCCTCCGGGCTCACAGTAAAAACAAAATTTCGAGTCTCATTAGAATTATTGTATTTTGACTTGTTTCAACTTTTGTTTCTATTCTAATGGCAGTCGAGCAACACTTTTATTTTTATATACAGGTTGTCCCAAAAATGGAATATAATCCTGTAACTGTAGACAGGTCACGCCATAGCCTACTAGATAGTGGGATTTTGTTTTAGTAATTCAATTTTTTTTTTAGTTGGCGTATATTCAGTAAACCCCGTGCCAATTCTCCAATTATCAACTTTTTGGGCCACATTTATTTTAAAACACTCAGAATTAAGCATTTCATTTTGCCTAGTGCTATTTTTTCGCAATGTGGTGGAGAACCCAGACCAAAATTATGCTAAAGTCTAAATTGTTATTAAAACCCCTTCTTACGTCTGACATTGTTATTTGCCCCGTGCTGTTCTTATCATTTTACTACAGTTGGATACAAAAAATGGACAGGATTGATGTTGAAGGATACACATTTTGTCATAAAACATTTTTAACCTACAAAAAATAATCGGTCGAATGCTCGAGGATGGTTTAATTTTGGAACTCAACTATCCATAGTCCTTGAATATGTGATATAAACAAAACAACCTGTACTACATAGCTACAGAGATTTAAAAAATATCAACCAAGTATCTTTTAATACTGCTCTGGAGGAAGTAGATTTTATGTAGATAATTTATTGTCAGAATATAGAAAGAAAATCAAATATATTTAATCAATTAGTTTTAGAGCTATTTGACAAATGTGCACTCTATGGAATGGCCAGGTTCACAAAAAAGCCAGCTCCATGGCTGAACGATAACATTAAATGTTTAATGAAGTTTAGAGGTGTCAAATTTACTGCCTATAGAAAAGGTGCTGTCAGCAATAGGGGGAAATACAAAGAGTTACGTCATGTGGTAAAATTATTAATTGATAATGGTTAAGTATAAATAGCCATTGACCAGACTTCGCCATTTGTAAGGATACATAATTATGTATGTGTTACAATAAAGTCCATTGAATTGAATTGAATTGAATAATGCTGAAAAGATTCATTTTGATTAAGAAATTAGCAGGACTAATTATAAGATTCTATGGAAAGATTTTGAAGCTAGGAACTTTGGCATTCAGACACCCAGGTCACTTATCCCAGTAGATTTAGCTGACGTTGGCAAAATGAACCGGTACTGTACGCTGTACGTCTTTATCTAGTGCAGGTATAGAACCTGATGCGGATACACTCTCTTTTAATAAAAATGTCAAACCTAATGCTTCCCTGTTTGATTTCCTTCTGGTGTCCACAGATC